ACTTAATAAGACTATGTCAAACCTGTCGTAGAAGAGAAATGTGCAGGGTGACAGAAAGAAAAGCCCTTTACGCTTTCAGGTTTTCTTACAAGTGTTCCAGAACAATAATTTACGCCCTAAAAGAACCAGCCGTGCAAAAATCACTAATCTGGAAACCTCCGCAACATGGGGTACAATGCACATAATGGGGGGAAATGTGAGTTTGGTTGAGAAAGAGAATGACAAGCAAACAGCAATGAACACAAGGGACAAAGCGTGTGTCTTGTGTATGGATCTCTGGGGGCTCTCGTGGCCTAGTGGTTAAGGTGTTGACCTCACATTCTAAGGTCCCGGGTTCGAATCCGGGTAGCGACCGAAAAAGTTTCTTCTCTAAAATTGTCTCCTTTCACCTCCTTCCCTGCTCTCTAGCAATGTTCTGTTGTTTGCTTTCGTTTCTACTTTCTGTCCCCACCCCCTCACCACCTTTGCCCCCTCCTCTGGGCTCCTGACTCTTTCTGGAGCCTTTTTACTGCTACTCCTTGGCTCTTCCTAACTGCTGTCTTTCTGCCACACACCTGATCTTCTGGTAGGAAAGATCTACACCTAGCCTTCTCGGACAAAGGCAAAAATCTTGTAGGGCCCGTGTGCAAGCTGCGCACGTTAAAGATCCCTCGGTGGTCTAAAATCGATATTTACAGTAGATCTAGGCTTCGGCCGCCACCCGAGCAAAATTCAAAATTTCCTACCAACTGAAAATATTAGGTGTGTCCCGCGCGCTCATATGACCTTATGCAGTTGCGAGCGCCGTAAAAACACTTACCAAAACAAAACAAAACAAAATGGATCTTCAGCGCGTCCTTCTAGCACCATCATTGAAGGCGTATCTGCAGTGTATTATAAAACAAAATCAGCTATGCACAGTTTACATTATTATGAAATAAAACAGTTTTTTGCTTCTCCTGTAACATGCACTCCGCTGGGATCAGCCAATCTTACCAAAAGGGTGGCAATATCCTAATTCTGTTTTACCTTTAGATTTCGTTTCGAACAAACACAAAAGAAAAACTTACCTTAAAATCGATCAATTGAATTATGTTCCAGTCTTGAACTTGTACCGCTTGTGGCTGGTGTGCTACCCAAGCCAGGACAAAGAGACAGTTCTCCGAAACCGCGAATATGCTTGCGTCCGGGATCTCGTACTGTATTCTATTAATTAATATCGGGTTCTCATTGGCAGGTTCTCATCGGGTCTGGTTGGTTGGGTCGGTTCGAAGAATGTCGGCTTCAGTGTAGCCTACACTACGGATTCTCCAAATCAGCACTGTGCCCCTTTTCGAAAAGCTGCGGATAGCGTAAATGTCGTATAGCAAAGTTGAGGTGCAGTCATAGAAATACACTATAGGCACTACATACAGTACGCCTCTCTCTCTCTCTCTCTCTCTCTCTCTCTCTCTCTCTCTCTCTCTCTCTCTCTCTCATACGCGATAGACGAGGCTTGGTCCATTTTGATTTATTTTTTTTGGGTATGGACGCCGTGGCGTACTATATCTAGATTACAATATAGCCATAATACAGCGTTCTTGCTACAACTAGATCTAGATCTACAAATAAATGTATTATTAAATAGATAGAGATAGAGGGATATAGGCTTTTTAAAAAAGAACCAAAAATAAACCTTTATTTCTTCATCAGCACTTTATCTACGAGGTGGTTTATTAGGGCCTATAGAACGTTTTTAAAGAAGTACGAAAAGATGCGGGTGTCATGGGAACCTCTCAACCACCCCACCCTCTCTCTCCTCCCGGATCCCAATACCATTTTATTTTGATTTTAAGAACTAAAGTAGACCATTTATAACATTTTAACTAAAGCTCCTTCTATTGCTGTTTTTAAGTAAGTCTAGTTTTGGACATTAGTAAAACAACTGTGACAATTCTGGACTCACTAAAGATTTTTTTTTTAAGTGAACTTAATGTTGTTTTGTGGCCTGGTCAATTGTTTTTCTACACAGTGTAGTGATAACTAAAACAAAAACCTTTACTGAAGTCTTTTTGGACAAAATTCAATAAAACAAAACATTAAAAAGTACACTGTTTGGTAAAGAAATTACCTGCCCATAGTGAAAAAAAGACCTACCTGCTAGTCGACCTTAACTTCACATGGCCCAGAACCTTACTGATGACTCTTTATATATTTTTCTAAAAACCCGGAGTGACTATGTGTGTCCATAAGACATATTATGACCTGAAAATACATGATGTAATCAAAGAAAACAGACATCATTGAACTGCCTGACAGAAGCAGTGATGAGTTGTTTAAATTTATTCGTACAATAGAAAATGTGCCAAACACATTATATTAAATGCTGTGCATATAGCAAGCTCAGCACCAAGCGCACTCTGACTGTGGTTTCCTTTGTCACTAATAAGCTTAGATATCATTATCATATACATTACATCCTACATTTTAGACACGAGCCTATCTTTGGCTGCTCTCATCCATCATCATCCCATAAAGATGATTATGACTGATGATACTGTTATATTACTATGTTTAATATATATCTTTAGTCAGTGAGTCATTGTCAAGTGAGTGAAATTAGAACCTCAGATTAGTAGATCTAGCTTGGATTTTAAACTCAAAGACAAGGCAAAATTGCAGTGGTTAGATCTGATGTCAATTAACTGAAAGGTAGACCTTGATCAGACCAGGCTCTTAATCTTTTCGAATATTTTCTTCAATACATAGATCTGGATCTAATCTGAGGGAAATTCTCATCTATCTTATTCTTACTAGTGAAATGAAAGAGAGGTTCCTTTGAAGGCTCTGTTAGTACACTGATAAACACAGTAAAGTTGAAGAAGAAGAAGAAGAAGAAGAAGAAGAAGAAGAAGAAGAAGAAGAAGAAGAAGAAGAAGAAGAAGAAGAAGAAGAAGG